AATGTTTAACGACTAACACTTACTCGTATTTAATAAATGTATAAATTAATGCTTTTCTCATCAATGTCTATGGAGCAATAACTAAAACGTACCTAATGCTTACTGGTAAAACTCATTTATTATTATTATTATTATTATTATTATTATTATTATTATTATTGTTACATCAAACATACAATGTATTTATTGTTTATGTATATCTCTAATGCGTAAGTTATTATTTTTTACTTTTAAAGTCCCAAGTTAATAACGAAATAAAAAAATGAGATCACAGTCCGTAGTATATAATATATTATACTTACAATTTGTTATCAACATTTTTATTCGAAAATCAATTTAAATACATTTAATTATCTACTACGATGTTTTTTAATTATTCAAAATTACATTTCATTTGGTAACAAATTGATTCAATGATGATAACATTTAATATGAATACTACGTATAATTTTATACAAATTTATTATGTTACACAGATAACTTCTGATGTGCAATATAAATCGCTAAAATAAACACGTTTTAACTGTAATTCAATACTTATATTTTGTACTGTATAAATTTAGCAAAGTACATAATATATAAATAGATTAATATGAAAATATTAGAAATATTTTTAATATAACAATATCCAAAGTGAAATAATTCGAACGATAAAAAAATGAATGTTATAATTATATATACCAGTATTTTCAACATACTATGCAAATACATATTATAAAATGTGATTTAGATATTTAAATTTGCTTTTAGTAATCATTCAAAAATATACATATAAACAACTATTAATACTAAACCATATATAACATATTTCTATATTCTGCAACAAATAATAATGATAACCACTTAATAAATTATTTAATATCTAATTATACAAAACAATTGTTAGTTAAAAAGTACATGAAATTAATAGAATTACTTCATATTAAAATATAATATAATGCAAAGTTTTCATTAACAAAAAATTAGATATAAGATTATACTATAAATTAAATTAAATACTACATCAAATACTATCGCTAAAATAAACATTTAACATTATTATAATTTATGTTCTATATCTATAGTTGATTAAGCATATAACTAACTGTTAACTGAATTTGTATTAATATTTATCTATACCCATGATTTATTAAAGTGGATAATTTTTATAAAATTAATAAAATAAATGGTTTTTAATTTTGTAATAATATTACGTGAAAATATAAGTTAATTTATCTAAAATTCAATTTCAGTGAACTAAAAAATAAATAAAAAATTGAAACCTCAACAATTTAAGAACAATAAGCTCTATAAAATTACCATCTTCAATTTTTTCGAAAATATACAGTAAAAAATAATTTATTTAAATTGTTAACCCATTGACGAAAATCGTGAGGAAGGGCTTGGAGGATTTAGCCCCTCTAAAATCCTACCAAGCCCCTTAAAAATTATTATAGAAGTATACAAAATGTAGTCTCAAACATATTTTTAAAAAAAATCTCAACTTCTTCAATAGATTAATAGGAATGTGGAATATTTTTAAAGGACACCTGTACATAAAATCACATTTTTATTCTTACTGTCTAAATTTATAATTGGAAATATGTGACTAGATATTATTTAACTTATAATACAAATCAAATGTTTAAAACTAATTTGAAAGATGGAAAGTAAAAATAATATTCAAATAGGTACTAATTTTAAAATTTAAATTTAAATAACATACAAAAGAAGGCTTAGCGTGTTGAACCATTAGAACTAGTTGGGGGAGTTCCTCAATAAAAAATTAAAGCACCATTATTTATTTCGTTTATTTACAAATTAATGAAGACAAACCCCTATGGTTTAATCGATCCATTTATATACACACTTTTAAACACTAGCAATAGACAACAATTCATTTTGTAAATCGATATCGCCTGATTTTGCCAATATTGAATCATATCGTAAATTGTACGACATCGAAAATATCTAAGATACATATTTTAAAATATTACCTACTAAGTATTTATTAGTTATTACTTATTAATAATTATTAATTCGAAAATTTACTTTACCTAGAAAATAAGAAAAATAAACTAATTATATTCAAAAAATAAATTAATGATAATATAAATTTTATAAAAAATTAAAACTATTTTTATTAAAATAATGAATGTTTTTAATCTTCAAACCCGATAGCTGTATTCTAGCAAATAAATTCATGAATATTTTACTTTTGTTTTCTATCAAAAATGAAAATATATGTCGATTTCTTACCAAAGAATGGTCAGAAGTCTTAAAGGATTTATAATATGAATTAAAATAGAGAAGATTGTTAATTCGATCTGGATATAGTCTACTTCTTCGAACAACTACAGTAGACCATTCTATTTAGTATATTAAATCTATGCAACTACCGACAAATATATTTCACCAATGCTGATCCTTCTGGGTATAAATATAAAAATTTTCCACCATTTAAGTAGACCTTCGTCACTATATTTAATACAAATAATACTATACAATTTATTATAGATCTTATCTAAGACTGGCAAATTAAATTCTGATTTTGATATCCCGATATATCGTACAATATAAATCAAAATAGAAAATTGGTCACGATATCGACACAGTATCGATTTATTGATAATATTGCCCACCACTACTAAATACTTACTAGCCACAACATAAAGATATTCTAGACAATAAAATTAATTGAAAAATTTCACAAACTTTTATAACGAAAATAAAAGACTAAATTGATATACAGAGCTCAAAAATATTTGGTATATTTATTATATTGATAATGTTAATGCTTTTAAATTTTATTTAACTATCAATATTATTACATTCTAAGAGGTTTTGTAATATTTATATATTATTCTATGTATACAAAATACCTAAATAATAAAAATAAAGATAACTAATATTCCGCGACCAATACTGTGTGTTGGTATTTTTAATCTATAACGAGTAATGGACATATTACCACGTTTGAACACTTAATTTGTTAAACATATTATTAACATATATTTTTCGAGGATATTTCTCAATGTTATTTTTATTTTTGAATCCTTTATTTGTAGAAACATCACGGCACGAATAAAAAACCAAGACTTAGTTGTTAATTTAAAAACGATTATGCAATACGAATATCCATTATTTTGAAAACACAATCGGCATGTGTCGACTTTATTGGTCATAACAACATGAATGATGACAAGCTTGGCCACAACAAATAATTAATAGACTAATAAGACTATTATGGTGCAATACATAATAATATGTATATCAATATTCAAAATCATATTTTTCCAAATTCTAAACACAGAAATATTCGCTTAGAAATAACTTTTTCACGATCAAGACAACGTAACATGTATACACATAGATACAATAAGTACATAGCCAGGTGTTGTGTAAACGATATATGAATATCGTTGTGCGACTCATATCGAGAAAATTACAACACAAAGCTGTGCGTATTGCGGATTCGTAGACCTCCTTCCGGCGCACCACACAAGGCCTATCAATTCTAGTAACCCTCATACGTGATTATATTCGATATAGATCGGCGTATGTGATCTGTTTTGTAACTCCACAGCCAACTGTAACGATAACGATAGATAATACCTGTACCGTCGTGTCGGACGTGTAATGGAAAATTAGTTGTGAACAGAGCGAAGGCCGCACATCCACGGTATCGAGTTACACTTTGCCTTACGCCAATTAACATTATGATCTGTTCCGACGGACGGAACGTAAAAGGTCGAAATCGCGTTATATTATTTAACTCGCGTGCGTACAACAGTGTACGTGTGAGTGACCGGTATGCGCGTGCGGGTGCGCGCGCGTGAAATAACGACGTGGAACGTTCAACGGAACAGTATCAATTCGAAACGTATTACACTGTCCGCGAAGGAGTATTGAACCGGCTGCATTGTATCGCAAGAACGTATCTCCGTGTGACGGTAAAAATGATTAATTCGGAGGATAAAATTAAAATACAAAAGGAAAGAAAAAAAAAAACGAAAAAAAAATTGAAAAAATCGTTGCGATTTTCGAATGAGAATCCGTTACGGCCAACTCGTTCCGATCAATTTTAAACGTGTGCGTGTTTCGTATCCCCCGCTCCGTACACCTTTTTTCAGTACAATGCGATGGTTATTACGGTATCACGAGTAGAGGTCACCCACCGGCTTCGAGTTCATGCGGTACGACCGGCATCGAAAACGGCGGCAGCGGGGGGTAGGGGGTGCACGGGAAACAAAAATCGTAGTAGCGACTGCCGACAGGACATAAAAAACCCAGTTCCGTGTTCAGACCTAAGAAAACTACACGAAACCGTGCTTACGAAATATTTACAACATTATACGCTGATGGTTTACCGTATACACAATATAATGGAAATAAAAATAATAACAATACAATAATAGTAATTATAACAATAATAATAGTAATAATAATATTAATATTAATAATAATAATAATAGGTTTTCGTCGTAGGGCCATTAAGACCTTCAAGATCAATCAATACAGTGTTCGTATGACGTTAACAAACTCGAACGTTTGTCCGACGTGTTTCATGCGAGGGATAATAATGAAAGAAATTCACTATCGTGAACGTGATCCGCCCGGTTACGCGGTCCGGGACGGAGACGATAAATAATTTTCGTTTTACCTTCACACGCGGTTGTAGAGCGCGTGGTGGGGGTCCGGCGCACGGCTATTGATTTACAAAATGACATTTTCGCGTGCACGAGGGGCAGTTTTATCGAGTGCCGGAAGAACAAAACCTAAGCTACCGGCAAGCAATCGAACATAACCGACAAAACGTGAAACGTATTAGAACTGTGGTCAAGTCGCGCGTACACCGACGCCGTAGCTGGGCCGCGACAGGTTATGTGTAGACGTTGGAACGCGATCGGCGGGGAAGGAGTCGAAGGAACGTCGTGTAGAGTCCGCGGAAAATCGAGAAAAATAAAATTAATAATATTGCAATAGAAACACCGTGCACATTTCACACGAACAGTACTTACTCGAATAGATTTGTAGTTGACGTTGGACTGCAGGCACGCGGCAGGAAAATATAACCTTATTCGTAAGATTTTAATTACTACCGAATATATAGGATTAAAAAAAAAAAAAATTGATTATATAAATATATATACTACGTAATGTATATATTTATATAATATATATATATATATATATATTTATATATATGAATATATAATTATATAAATATATATATATTGGAGATATTCTACGCGTGATCACGCAGAAGCACGATGGTGGTGCGCGTTCGACTGACTGGGCTCGGCTCCTGCCGGTTTTCGTTATTTAAGCGGTCGTCTCACGGGCAGTGAGTAGCTCGGGCGGAGGTGTACCGCGCGCACTCTTTTTTATAGACGTACGTACAGAGCGGTTCGCGCGACCCGTGCTCCTCACGACCGGTATCCGGTGTCGTCCGAACGAAACGCCGCGGTACCGTTAATAATAATGAATAATAAATGTAAATCGTCGCCGTGACGTCGATTATTACCCGATACGGCGATGGTCGTGTGGTTTTATACAACCGTTAAACGTGACATCGCACTGGAACTGTTGGATATTTCCGAACACGGTGGTATTATTTCTGTTCATTTCTGTTCCCGATCAATCCCATGACAACAGGAATTTACCAAAAAATATAATATATAAATATAAACCGGGCACGGCGATCTAGGACTGTTAGCGAAAACGCATATGATAAACGCAGCGACTTGATCGAAACACATAATTATTATAACGGTTTTTACACGTAACGAGTGGTTCGACGTAACGTTGAAGGAGAAAGCGTCGTGCTTCGGGCGACGATTGAAAAGTCGGAATCGACAACGCGATCGTCCTGTATAGTGTGCACGCGTAATATATTTTATTTTACGTTGCCGCACGCGCGCACACACCCCCTTTCGGAAGCACACCGGCTATGCGGCGGCGTTGGCACCATACTTGTCAGTGGTGGCGGTGCGCGGCAGTATCTAACCTCCTTGGATCCGATACGGTTCCTACACTGTAGAGACGGCCAGCCGGTCACCGTATCGACGATGACATCACAACTTTGAAGTTCCAGTTTTTCCATTAAAAATACACGTGTCTGCGTTTGTAGGTTGTGCGCGTGGTTTCAGTGGTTTCGAACGCGACCGCACGAGGCGTGGATATCGACCAATGAACGCGAGATGGGTAATCATCGATAGTGTGCGCGCTTGGCCGTAGACTGTGTACGATATGTACGTGCTCGATTCGACTGGATCAACTTCGAAATTTGGAACTCGGAAAAAAAGAAATGAACAAACACGTTGAACCATCGGGGTATCTTGATTTCCTCCGAATTCCACCGAGAATAAATAAACCAAGTGTTGTGTTACTATCATTTCAAACATCAATACGAACTATAGCAGAGTCGACCAGCCTTGACCGTTAAATACTGAAATATTCATGTTCGCACGCGGTGAAATATTTCAAACGTTTATATTATTTAATTTGTACCCGTCGTTTGCTATACCTAAATTAATGATGAATAACGGTAGTTTTATTTCGCACACGTGAAAATAATATTTATTAACAGTCGGCTGGCAGATCGATTGGCCCGGGTAAATGCTCCCGAATATTTAAAATCGCAGCGGTGGCCTACGTTGAAGTTCAGTCCTATCGAACGAAACAAACAACTATATCGTCGTACGATAGTGCCGAATCATCTTCTGTTAATTTCATATATTGGCAATGATTCTCATCGTAATCCAATAATAAAAATAAAAATAAAATGCATACGGACTACTGACGTATGTGCCTGTAAGCAACATCGATGTACAATTTTAATAATTATTAGTGAGTGTGGCCTCGACTCGCATGAAATAAACCAATTACATTTAATAGGCATTATATAACAAATAAACAGCGTATAAATCATTAATTGTTATCAAATATATGTATTTAAATCGAAATACGCATTATACTGTTCCTTCGTACTTCATTATAATATCATTATAATTATCGATTAGATACTTTCCTTAGAAACCATTTAAAGGCTATGTAAATACTTATATATAATGTATATTATATATACATATATATATATATATGTTGTCCATTACCTTCAGGTATCTGAATTTGGACATTTTTATGATTTAGATGGTGATGATGTTGGAAAAAGGTTGTAAATATTAACATAAAATTAAAATGCATAAATATTTATTTACAGAAATTAAAATTATTTTAATAAATTGATACCATCGTAAATATAAAGTATACCGTCAATAATAGTTATTGATTGTAGTGTGTTACTAAGAAATAATTATTTCATAGTATTAGGTACTATAATAGTCAGAGGGGAAACTGAATGTCTATACAAAATAAGGCCAAAATTAAAACCTGCAATACTAACTACGTTTAATGCTTCTCCGCGAATTGTTTGTGACTTACAGTATACGTAGTAACAATCCAATACCATACTTATATTAATACATCGATACATATTGTACTTGATTAGTTAGCAGAATAGTATTAAATAAGTATTGTGAACAGTGACTGAATGCGTATAAGTTGCAGGACAATGTTAACCCGGCACAGCGCCGGGGGGGAGGGTCTCTAGCCCTCCAGAAAACATTTTAGCCCCCTTGTCAACCTTCCCCCACTGAAAAATATGTATGATATAATAATGTCATAAAACATTATTTTTAAAGAGCTACATAAAAGCATTTATGAAATATAATTATTAAAAATTTGTAATTTATGTTAATACTTTCGTATTTTCGAAGATTTGTGTTTTAAGTTTTTAGATAGACTATGAACTGTATATATTTGTTTTACTTAGCTACTTATGATGTATTACCATTTGTTCGTTTTCATCTAATTGTGGTTGCACGCAGCGGCGGATTGGCTAAACATTTCGGCCCGGGAAATTACCGTACGACCAGCCCACCATCCAATAATAATAATTTTCCATAAAAGTCTCCTTTATTCCTGGATTAAATGCTCATAGAACTGTTTATATCACGTTTACACTAGGTTTTTATCAAAATCTTACAATTAAATACAATATACTTAAATACATTATTTTTATAAAATAATTTTCAATCCAAGTAGATCGGTCCAGTGTTATAATACGACTACCGGCCCACCGGGAACTTTCGCGGTATCCCGGTGGGCCAATCCGCCGCTGGTTGTACGTCACGAAAATAATAATAGCTGAATTATGTTATATGATATGAAAATATTTATATTTTATTTGAATAACCTCAGAATATGTTGAAAAAACCTTAGCTCACGTAAAAAAAATATTTGCTCCCCTTCTCTGGGAAAAAATTCTAATGCCATGCCTGATGTTAACTACCAAAAAAAAAAATTAAATATATCGTAAAAAAACGTTTTATTAAATAATTATTAATAATAAAATACTTTTTTTTAGTTTAAGATCATGGCTTTTAAATAGTATTTGTAACTTGGGGTTTTTTATATACAATGAGGCCCATATTGGCTTCTCTTATGGGGCGGTTACGAAAATATTTAAGGGCGCCTTAATTTTTGTTAATTAATCCTCCAGGTTACCTATGGCCCAATAGATTACAGATTAAAGAATCATAATTTAGGTTTAACGCTTGTCTTCGCAGAAATATAAACGTTTTTCAATTATGTATTACTGAAGACCATCGGGTTATTACTTGTTAATGAGAAACATTGGATATCTCTCCAAAATCTTAATGTAGCAGTAATTTTTATGGGCGCATCATGCATCGTAATTTTCATGGCATCTGCCCGGTTGCCCGCTGGGCCGGTACTGGCCTGTATACAATATAAAACTATATTTATTTATTTAGTTGACCACAGATTGCTACTGTTAATCCATGCTTTACTTTACCTGTAACATACATATACATGTATGAGTAATTATATATCAGTTAATATTTAGGTGAACAACTATGTGTATATACTTATCATATACTTACATTTATATTTATTTTTTTTGTGAAAACTCAAAAATATACTTCCTATAGTTTTGTATTCAGTATAGATAATACATTTATTAATAATGCAGATTATTGGTACATATAATTTTTCGATTTTTGTTAAGATTTAGAGGAGAAAAAATGAATAAATAACTTTTATATTATCAAAAATTTGGTGTCCAATAATAAAATACAAAGGACTAGTAAATTACAGGAAGGGGTGACTAATAAGAGAATTATTCTTGTAAATTGGAAATCAATGTATCATTGGTCTCAAAAAACGATTTTGAACAAAGGAGGTCAATCGATTAATAATTATACAATAACATAGTTTTGATTATTACACTAGAAATTAGAAAAACTATAAATTACTTAATGAAAAAAAGTACAAAATAATTTCGTAATCACGTTTTATGAGGGGGTGGCAACATTTCTTTCGATGATTCTAAGTAAAAACAAATACATTTTTTTGTATTCTCAATGGAAAATATGAATAATAAATAAATAAAATTATATGAAAAATAAATGTAATATTGTAAAAAATGTTATATTATGTAGTAGCGTTTAAAATGTATATTTTATATATATATATATATATATATATATATATATATATATATATATATATATATATAAGAGTATTTTTTAATTTATATGGTATTTTATTGAGGTGTAGGTATTCGTTTAATCCTTATTTATATGAGGATGGGACATTTATACCGAAAGATACTAATTAGTCTTATTAAAAAAAAAAAAAACAATTTTCCATAACTTTATTAAGGTAGGTAATTAAAACTCAGTTATTATTTTGAATTTTATTGTACAAATAATATGTAATAATTTACTGAAATTGGGAAAAAAAATTGCGAGCGGCATTTAATGAATATTTGATGATACTTATTTTCAATTTTGCACTCTAGAGAAGAAGGGCGGCAACATTATGTTGCCCCTGGGCGCTAAAATCTTAAATACGGTCCTTGGTACAAACATTATTCTTTTCGCTCAGAAACGAATGTATTTTATAGTACAAATTTGATATTATATCTTTTTAATTTAACTTGAATTGATAAAAAATATATCGTTTTCACCTACAATAATGCCTGATGACTATAGATAACCAGAACTAGCGTTATAGGGTGTATGAGGAGGGTGCAATACTCCCTCCAAATAGAAATGACTTGTTTATATAGTCGGCAATTATCAACAAATTAACATTTGTCGCAAATAATTACGATTTTTCAAAATATGTACGAATATACAGCATAGGTGGAACTAGGGGTTTTTAGCACCTCTAAGTTTAAATGTAGCACTCCTGTTTTTTTTTTCAAATCTATATAAGCTATAGTAATTAGAGTTAAATACCATTTTATTTTATTTTCAGCAATTTCAACACCCCCAATATTTGGGCTCTATTTGCGCCCATGATGTACGGTGTTACAATATTAAAATACTCGTATTATAAATGCTTTAAGTATTTTTATTTATATTTTAAATTTTTTTTCTTATGATACCTACTAAAAAATGGCACCTCTTTAAATAGTATTTTTAATGCCGCTGTAGGCATGGACCTACGTTGCTTATGCCTTAACCCCGACTTGTACCAATTTTTACATTTTTACATGAATATACTAGTAATATACACTGTACAGTATATTAACATAATCAGTTGCTATTAGATACTTTTAAACTCAAAACTTTTTAGTAACTATTTTTGAACAATTGTAAAAAAAAATCTGTGATTTGGTCACAGCATTCTTAATGTTCACAATAAGTCAATAATGATTTAAAAATGCATAAAATACGTACTCAATATTATGCTATATTACTATATTTCATTTTTATTTCATGACTATCATCTCAGTATAATTAATCTTGTTACATTTTTTTTAATTTTTAAAACTGTATTCAACATTTCCGATTTATTTGAACGGCTGTCTTTCGTTAGAGTTGAGGTTATCATTTTCAATGTACTAAACGACTGGCGTTTTAATATTTCAGTATTGTGAAACATAACAACAATACAACATGTCTATATGTTTTGTTTACTATAATCTATTGACTGTGCAATTTGAAGAATTGAACCAATATAAATAACCGTTATATTAAATTAATATATTAAAGGAACAATGAAAAATATGGAAATGTATTCAATGTAGAAGAGACAAGATGATGGGTTACATATTAAGGCATAAAAGTTTACTAAGAAAATAATTGAAGAAGATGTTGAAGGACACATTACAAGGGGAAGACCAAGGGTAGAATACATGACATAGATAATACAGGATACGAATAAAGGACACTACAAAGATCTGAAAGAATTGTGCCACGATAGAGAAGCATGAAGAGCTACAACAAACAAATCAACGAATTTATAGCAAAAAAAAAAAAATAAATAAATATTAAATAACGAAATAAAATTTCACGAGTTTTTTGGGGTCAATCGTTAACAGTTGAATTATTTATTACCCTTTGTTGAGTTTGAACTAACTATACCAACCAGCAACATAATTATCCACAGGATTTTTATGTTTTTCTTCAATTAATGTTCTTGATTAAGCAAAAATACGACCTTGGAAAAGTTTTGTGATTCAGCCATGGTATAAAATATAAAATAATAGCAAAAGCCCTTGGTGACCGTCGCTGTATATTGTTTTCGACTGAGTGGAGCTGCATGTCGTAGCCTATTCATAGTCGTAAAGTCGCAATCGCTTATTGACAACCAATCCACAGGAATTGCGTAAAAACGATGTCGTCAATCACGATTGTTTTTTCGTTCGACACAAAAAATTAATAATGAAAGTAGCCCATATGTTTAATATTTAATTCTGTAGTAACCAACTAGTATAATTTATTTTTTGTTTGAATGTAACTAAAAAATTATTATCATATTTAAGGAGTGAATTTCACAATTCTTTTAAACTATATTAATATACAGTGTATATACAGCAAGTATAGTTGTCACTTTGAATACTATTAGTAAAAGATTAAGGCATAAATTAATGATTTATTTGTTTTACGGATGTTTCAACTGGAAGAGGAAGTAGCACATTTAACTTGTACAATTCTTATATATTTATACAGTACTTAATGATTTTAATAAATAAATAATAAAGTACCTGTAGGCAGAATATTACGTTAATTAAATGTAATTGTATTTAAATGACTATTTAGATAACACTGTATTTGAATACGTTTTAATCAAATGATTTTTTCACAAATATTCAAATAACATTTTTTTATAATAATTTCCAACTATAACTATTTGATTAAAAAAAATTATTCGACTAAATTTCAAACGTAGTTATTCAAATAATGGTCAGTCATTTTATTCAAGTAAATATATAGTTGATTATTTAAAACATGCATATATTAAATACTACATACTTGTAAACATATTACAAGAATTATGATCGAAAATGATGTGTTCACAATTGTGTTCTATATTTTGTAATTTATGAATCATGTATAATTTTTCACTTCCTGTTTATAAAAAATGACTGATATTTTACATAAAATTAACAATATTATGTCCAAGTTTTTTTTTTTTTTTTAATTTTATATTACTGTAGTAGAAAGTAAGTTATTTTGTATAAATAATTAAATTGTTTGTATTTGTATGTGGTAAAAATTTATAATTTTCATTGAGTAATCATCCCAAAATAGATTTCGTAGACTATGTTGTTATACTAAAATATATTATTTATATACTTTATTATAATAGTAATCATCATATGCAATTATAAATTATACAAAAATAATATTTGGAAAATTATGTTGACTTGGTTTCACAGATTCAATCTGAATATCAATAGCTTAGATAAAAATCATTGTTTAAAATAAATTAAATATATTTAAATTTAGTTTTTAAAATAAAATTTAAAAAAATAATATTCTATTTTATTTTAAGGAATATTAAATATACTTTATGTTGATAAATAAAATAATTAAAAAATCATAAATAAATCAAATATATAATAATTTTATTTAATTCAGGTGAGAATATATTCAACTACACCACATATTATTTAACATACACTTATAAATATTATATTTAATCACGTTTAAACCCAGGTTTTCTGATTTCTGGTAGTATGTAAGTCATATCTTCTTTGGGACTCTATACTACAGCTACTTTCCTTTTCATCCTTTTAATTTTTTCTTCGTTTACTAAATCGTGTTAGTATTCATAATCAAAGAAGAGCAACAGTTGTTTTTTTTCTTTTAGTTCTTTTTTGACTATTTCCAAACGTTTCTTATTTTGTTTATGTTCCATATACCTTTGAAACTCTTCTCATCCAAAGGATTCATATTCTTTGTAAATCTGTAATAAAAATAATAAATTAATATAATATTTAAAATGTGATTTAATATATCATACCTTTTTCTGAAGTTGTATTTCTTTTTTTCAATTTTAATCTGGGAATAGTATCTTTCAGGTTTTCAGAATTTTCTAGTGCTCTCTTGTCTATAACAGAAATAACCAATTCTACAGTTTCCGAATACACAGGACCTTTTAGTATTTCTAGATGATCTGATAACTCATTCCATAAGTTGTAATAAGCTAATCCAATAGTTTTAAAACTACTTCCCTTAATAGTATTACCAGTTTTACTGATTGGTGGTCTTACCCACCAAATGATCCCTATCTGTAGATCAAAGTGATTATCGAAATGAGGATTTCTTAAAAAGTGTACACACACTCTTGTTTCTTCTTCATCATTATCTTTTTCCTCTGTATTCATTTTTAAATCTTCCCAATCACAGGAATTAATGATAAATTTCAAACAAGAATACAACTCCATAGTTTTTATGATATCATTGTTATGTACACAATAGTATATTATATTATTAATATTAACATTTATATGTATGTATTAATATGTGGGGTTAAATGCTGACTATGTATTTGTCCATTTTATACGTATACGCCTGACTACCCGCATCGAGTAGTCAGTCATGTAACAGCCAAGCAGTAGTGTATTAATTCTTGTGAGTCTATAAATATTTTAATAAACGACTCAATAAAACAGTGTGTTAGTTTTTACATTAATGGTGTGAATTAATAACTTCCATGTTGACTCCAAATTTGTGAACTCAAAACATTACTAGTGATCGGAGGAATTAACTGAACCGATTGCAGAACCCGAGCCTACGGACATAACCAAGCGGCTCACAACATCATTATCTAGTTCTTCTTGTAACATTTGGTTGGAAGCAATCACTGCAGCACTGCGAAAATTGTTTTCTTTAATAAATTTGTCCATCAGTAAATTGCATAAATAGAAATCTGGAAAAATTCAATAATTCAGTCTATCTTTTAATAACCTGGTAAGGTCTTCGGTATTATTTATGAGAAACAATCGAATGACAGCATGATGGGTGGATGGCAATAGCGTGCCAGCTTGAGCTGATAGATGAAACTTATATATTAGGTCTTCTAGTTTTTCTAGGTATGTTTTCAGTTAATGAGTTGACGAATATGTCCAAATCAATGGCATTTATCTGCTTTCTATCGTTATCCAACAGAAGATAACTTGTGATACAACATTTCAGGTTCGACTTTCTTCAGTAGCGAGCAGTCCATCCCTTCTTGCCATCAGTGGCGGCGCGAAATATTTTACTTCATAAGTCCTGTTAGGATTTTGCCCACCCACCCACTAATTTAAGGGTAGCTCGTAAAAAAAGCTCCCCTACTATTCGTTCTACATGCTACATACCCACTGGTCAATACCCACCCACTGACTTGAGTCCAGGGACTCAAAAATCTGCCATCACGCCGCCACTGCTTGCTATATATCATTGCATAGGTACGCATTTGTCAAGAACGAACTTGTTCTACGCAACTGACGAGTAGTTAAGCATGTCAACAGTGACTTCTTAATTGAAAACATGATGGTTTTATATTACGATTAACACATATTTAATATTATTTAAAAAGAGTATGTGTATGTATTAATTAATACATAAGTATTATTATGAATTATAATTTAAAATATTGTAGGAAACTTTTGGAAACTACAATCTAATATCAATCTCGCAACATACGATCATTATATTATCAATATTATACTACATAATCATTGTGTGAATACCAACCATTGATAATAGAAATAGCAAAAAAACCTAAATCATGTTTCCTTCGGGAGCTGGGGAACCCTTTTTTTTTTTTGAATTTTAAAATTTAAATATTTAAAAGTATAAAAATCAAAACTATTTAACTTACATAAAATATCTAAAAGAAATTTTTTAAATCATATGATTAAAATGAACTAATAATAATAATCTCTTTATAAATCGCATTCATAATTATAAAATGTAATTCAATTTTTAATTTTTATGTTTCTTTTCAGATCTTGAATTTTTTTTTTTTTTGTTTCAACTTAAACCAAGTTTCCTTTGGGAGTCGGGTAACCCCTTTTCATTTTTTTTTTTTTTGTAATTTTACACTTAAAATATTTAATGTATTTCCAAATACATATTTATCTTATGGTTCTTAAATTAACCAGTGATTAGGAGTATTATACCTTCAATATCAATATTTATCTCATTTTTAACAAATCTGAATAATTAAAAAAAAATCAAAAATAATGTTTTACTATTTCACAAAAGATAAAATTCATTAGATTTAAAAATAATATTAATTAATTGCTAACATGATATTTATTCAATTAATTTCTCTTCGATATTTAACAATACACGAGACTTGTATAATTTTTTGGTAAATGATTTTAGCTAATTAGTTGAGAATAAAAATAATTGATGTATATAAACACAATTCAATGATAGTAAGTCATGTATGTTTACAATTAAATTAAACCTTGATCATTTATCAGTTTAGCTAACTATTAATAGTATTTTTTTATTTATTTATTAAAAGTTTATAATAAATTCAGAATAAATGATGAATTTTCTATTCTACTTACCTATATAAAACTATGTAATGAATTGGTTTATGACAGGTACCGTGAAAATATGATTCAAAATTGAGTAATAAAATTACCAGCAAAATCTATTTATGTAAGATGCATGTCGTTAATAAGCATGGTTTTGTATTTAATTTTGTAGGCCCTATTACCTATTATGAATATCTTCTTATTTCAGGAATTAAGACATAATTGTTAAAATTCATGGATATATTTTTTATGAAGTATATTTGACAGGTATATTCAAATTTGGTTTAACAGAAGATTTGCATTATCAGATTTGACGTTTAATAAATTAGCATTTTATAAAATTTAGCAGTTCATTTTATTAAAAGTTATTATTGAATAATATATAAAAAAAATATAAATAATAATCCATGATAAATAAAGGTAATTATAAAACACATATGAAACATACATAAGGCATAAAAATGAAATTTAAAAAAAAAATGTTTTAACATCAAGCACATATTTATTCTCATTGTATTTAAAAATTAATAACTCATGAATAAATTCTATTAAATAAATTAACATATTAATAAGATATGTTGATACAATATGTACAATATAAAAAATAGAATCTATATAATGAAATTTTATATTTTTTAAATTATAAAAATGAATGCTATATACATTTGTAATTTATTTTTATTTTTAAGGATTTAATAGTCATTTCAGAAAATCTTACTAAATCTATAAGTCATATTGTTATACAGAGTAGCATCTAGAAGTCCAATAATTTGAACTAATAAATAATAAAGTAAAAATATAAATTTAATTGAATTATTTGAGATCAATATTAATTAGTTATCACATGGACTTTCAAAATGTAAGTAATTAATATTAAATTCAAAATACTTTATGTTTAATTTTGTAATCAATTACACAAATACATGACTTATCTGGTACATTTAACTGAAATTGTTAACTACATATGTACTCTAAATTAATTCAAACTATTGTTTTCCTAAAGCATATATTTTGTCAGATTTAACCATCCTATCTAATTTATTATAAAATGCTATAACATCAGGATTCGCCCAAACATGTTTCTTATCAAAATCTAAAATTCTTAAAGATTCTAAACTTTTAGCTCTAGACAATGCAACATAAGCTTGCCCAGCTTCAAACACTCGTCCCAAAGAAATTTCAACGCAATCTAGAGTTAAACCCTGTAAAAATAAAAAATAAATGTATTCTTTATTGTATTTGTTTTAACTATTGGTATTTATTCAATATATGCTATAATAACCTGTGATTTATGAATAGAAAATGCCCAAGCTAGTTTTAAAGGTACTTGTTGCCTTGAAATAAATTGTCCACTAGGAGTTTTGACTATCCACTTTTCAGGTTTAATAGGAACCAAGTTGCCACATTTAAATTGAACAATTGGAAACCCTAGAATGTCATTAATTTTAATTATATAGCAATGAAAAAAAAAAAAATAGATCAAATATCATAAAAGGTACTATTTTTTTTTTAAATATATATATGATTTCAATAGTTATTGAATCGAGTTAATACATACAATTTAAAAATGAATATAAACTGAAAAAACAATTAACGACAATATATTTAAATATAAATAATACTTTACATAATTATATCAATATAATGCTTAGTAAACATTTTGTAATACTAAGCCTTTTTATAAAATACTAAGCATTTTTTTTAAAAAAACATAAAATTAAAAATAAACAATTTTTAAAAGGTAATATTCTAAAAATATTCAAATTTTCTTATATCTATAAAATGTAATAATCATATTATTTAATTTAAAGTATGATTCACACTAGTCATACACGTACAGACAGACATTGTACTATACTGTTTTCATACCTTATCATAAAGGTTTTTAACCTTTTTAACAATGCGACACACTTTATTTCCAACAAAATGTTTGCAGCATACCAATCCATATAATATGTAAACCATATATATATATACCTACATTTTTTAGTCTATTTGAGGGTTAATTATTGAGAAATATATTAATACTATCATAGATCAAGATGACTGAGCCAAGCATGTTTACAATAAATAATATTATATATATCTATGATTAATTCAATCAGTTTTTATTGAATATCGATAATATTGATAAATACTACTGGTAAATACATAATTCTAAAACAGTTAATAGGTTTATTGTGGCATACCGATTAAAAACCAATGATATAGACCTATCAGTCATGGGTCATTCTAATAAAACATTCTTGCCCAAACTCTGTTGATTTGCTTAAGTGTATGAAGCAGATGAAAATTTTAAAATGAGAATTATCATATTTAAACAAGTATTAAAATATTTTGTAGAATGGTATGTATAATAATATATAAAATATATATATTATAATAACAATATGGTATGGTATAATTTCTATCAGTACATTTCTGACTACTGCGAATCATATTTATTTGTTTTAACTTAATAATTTTTTTCTGTTTTTAAATTTACTTCAATTGAATATCTTAGCTTGGATTTCAAAATGTAAAACAATTATTTTATTAGAATTTAATAGTTAACAAACCATTTTTATCAAAACTTTTGACTACTCCTCTAGCACCATTTACTAGTCCTGAAGATATACTTATGTTTTTTAATAACATTACTTGAGCACCAGACTTTAGAACAAAATATTTTTCTACAGGAGTATGTTCATCTAATGTTTTGGTTGGACCACTATCAAATGCTTGAAATTTATATTCTTTATCTGGCAACTCAAATAACTTTTTCTGATTAATCATTTGAGCATCAGCAGTCCGACAACAAAGACGTGTAGGTGCAATACCATTTTGTTCCATTAAATTAAATGCTGTGGCTTTTAATTTTATTGCTGTATCAGGTTCTATTCTAAAAAAATACTGATGTTAAACACAACTAAATATACTTTTATAGTTCATAAATTATTTTACTTACTTTCCTATTCGTAAGTCATTTAAAATTTTTATGAATTCACTGTCAGACTGTCTATGAACAAACTTTAAATTGAAACAACGAAAATTACATTGAACCCATGTAGCAGTTTGGAAGCAGAATCTAGGTTTTCCTTGTTTTATAGGAGGTAATTGTAAAAAATCGCCACATAATACTAATTTAATACCACCAAATGGTTCATCTCGTTTACGAACAGCTTTTGCTATTTTATCGAGTTTCTAAAAATTAAAAATAAAACCATGAAATACAAAAAAAAAAAAAGTAACATTAAGTTAGTACAAACTTCAAAGTATTCCCCATCTACCATGGATATTTCATCAATAATTAATGTTTTACATCTACGCCAAATTTGTGCAACTTGTGGTTTGGATGCCATTTCAATACCTCGTTCAATAGTGCATTCTCCAATACCAATACCAGCAAAAGAATGTAATGTAACTCCACCAATAAGACAAGCTGATGCTCCAGTACTCGCGGTTACCATTGTAACATCAGGTGGTAAAGTCTTTACTATGTAACGTAATAAAAATGATTTACCTGTTCCAGCACTACCTGAAAATATAAAATAAATCTATTTATTCTATTATAACATTTTAATTTCTTCAATTATACATAATACAATCAAATTTATTTCAAAATTAGGTATTCTGATTTACTTATTAATAAAAAATTTTTTATTTACCAGTAAAAAATATATTATAATTAGCATTAATAGCATCTACTATTTCTTTCTGTTCATTAGTGAGCTTATCTCTAAAATTAATCAAATAACCATTTTTGACATCATGATTTACCAATTCATTATTCAGTTTTTTTTTTTTAGTACTCGGACCTTCTAATTTTTTATCAACACGTCCAACATCCTTTAAATTTATGGGGCTGATTTCTTCAGTCTCACTTCTTTTAACAGCAAAGAGGCGTTCTCTGATTTTTACCTGCAAATATAATCACTGATAAATTATTATATATGAATCATTAAATAGTAAATCAAATTGACAAATACCTGAGGCGAATCTTTATGTGCTGTCACTTTAATAAAAAGCGTTTTTAAAAAATCTGCCAGTTGAGAAACAGGAGCATTTGATATCATCAACATAGCCTTGTCCGACTTAAAATTAATTGTGGCTTTACCATCACTGGCGAAACGTTTGTGCACAGCAATATCTTTCAATAGAAACCGATGCACTACGCTCTTATCGGCAGTTAAATCAATGAAAATGTCTCGGAAATCATTTCTAGTCATTAATAGAGTACTTGACGATGATTTGAAACGTTTTAAAACAATACCTTGAGCGTTAAACCATTCTACAGAACAGGCACATTGCAATGACATGGTACAAATATAAGTCTTAACAATACTTTAAATTATAAAAATTAATACATAATATATACAATACTTATAGAAATTTTGAAATTTTTTAAAATTTCATACACTGCAAGTTACCATTTAATTCTTTATATTATTTAAATTGATAACATTATTTCCGTTATTGTAGATAGCGCTCGGGCTAATTAACGATATAAATGTGAACTACGATATAGATAATATTTTTATCTACAGGTGATGTGGACCTTGTTGAATATTTGTTGTCAGTTGATAACATTAACTTGAAATCACAGTCTATGCATTAATTAAATATACATGTATATTTAATCAATGGTCTATGTATAGTAGAGAAGAATAGCCGATAGTACTAATACTAGTACCCAGGGCCGGCTCAAGGTATAGACGAGCTAGGCATCTGCCTAGAGCGGCACTTTAGTAGTGGTGGCATTTTAAAAATTGCCTCGAACATTTTTTTTAGTTCTATTGATGTTTTATGAGAAAAATATTTAAATTAATTCATTTGTGAAAACCACTTACATATATAATAAAATAATATTGTCTAAAGTTATTATATTACTTTATATTACGGCCTACGCTGGGCGTTTTCAATTATTCAAAAAATATAAATAACCACATATCCGATAATCGCGGTAATAATGGGTTTTGAGTAATAGTAATAGAAATTATTTTTAAGTCTTTTTACATATAATTGTATCCATAATATAAAAAATTAAGAATTCTTTTTAAGTAGATGTTTGATAGAAAAATAGGGGGGAGACTAAGTTAAAATAAGAGCTCAATTTTTTTTTTTTTTTTTAGAGGCGGCAAAATTTGATTTTGCCTAGTGTACTATTTTTGCATGGGCCGACCCTGACTATACCAATTAAAATTAATATTACAGCGTCGTTTTTGATGGCACTTTTTTAGTTCAAATAAAGTCCACCGGGAATAACTATTAACCGAATGCTTATAATACAGATGATATAATCTGTTATGAGTAGTATTTTATGCAAAATTGTAGTTTCTATTTAATTTTTTTTTTTTTTTTTTGGTATCTACTTAAATTTTAACGACAACGTGGCTCAGGGCTGGATCTAGAAATTTTTAAAGTGTGGGGGATGTACATTGCCATATATATATACAAATAGAATATATCTTTGTATCTTTAATTAAGGTTGTATCTTTAGGAACAAAGTTAAGTTTTAAAGTAACATAATATAATTATAATACAAATGAATGGTATACTCTATTTTTACAAAATAAAGTCAAGTTTTCGTTGTTTTTCTTTAGAAAATCTATTAATTACATTTTTTATGTTATTTTCACTGCCAACATTTATATCCTTATGGATATTGAATAAAAACTATCCATGTCAATCTTTCTTCTCCCATTCTTGCCCTTAACCAGTTCTAAGTAGCCTTTTTAAAGGGAAAACTTTCTATAGTTGCAACAAAAATTGAAAATCAAACTAAAACTTTAAGAAATAATGTATGTGTTGGATAGTAATTTTGATCAAAATGATTTAATGTCTAATTAGTAAAATTTATATTTTTAAATTCAGGGTTTACTAATAAAGAATTATTTTTGTTTTCACAAAAATGACCAAAACGACGTCAACGATTTCCTGCATTAACGAAGATAATGTTTCAATAATTTTACAACACAATTATAGATTTATGGCTTGTATATACAAGAAATTATAACCGATTCTGTTCGATGTACATTTTTTATATGATTTTATTGGTAGACGAAAAGTTTAGAATTCTCAAATGATCAATAAAAAATAATCTAATAACTTTTTATAAATAAATAAAGTTTTTTGGCATATTACGATTAAATTATTTGTTTAATTAAATTAATTAATTTGGAATAATTAAATTATTATTATAAAATAAATAACTGTTTTTAGTTTTGAAAAGGCAATATTAGTTAAAATAATAAAAATAAATAATAACTCATGAAATCATGAATTATTAGATGATCATCGAATAATCTCAAGTTAGTATTACATAACTATCAATTAATAAATGAATATAATATGATTTATATTCATCCACATTGCAAGAGGGATAAGATAATGTATATTATTATTTAATTAAGTTATTTTATTTTTATGAATACTGTGGGCTATGAGCCATGCATTTTTGTGTTCTAAAAAACCAAGATAATTGATTTTATTTTTTATCTGCTATTCAGGCAATTTTATAAATAACAAAAACTTAATTTATTTCAATTTTTTATATTTGTTATAATCAACATTGGTGTGATATGTAAACGAAATTAATATAATTATATATAAACATTTTATTGGTTGTAAAAAAATAATAAATTGACGGAATATAGTATAATGTGTAAAGAAATAGCTAGGTATCCATATTCCATTGACTGAACTCATCCCATATTAAAAATACACTTCAGTAATACTGCAGTAGATTGGTCAAATAAATCCTCTTAACACCGAGCTTGGAATAAAATTCCACTTAAGGAGAATAAAACGCATTTATAACATACGTATATTAATCTTATAATATATTTTAACCTTCATCCTAGTATGTTTAAATAATATTATCATAGATTTTTAGCCCAACTGATGATGTAAAATGAATTAATTATGAATGTATATAAAATATGATAATAAAACACGAGAATGACAGATTGTAATAGTAAAAATTATAAATACTGTGAATAACAATAAGAGGAAAAAAATATTTCATTCCAATATATGATATATTCCCATGGAGGACAAGTAGACCTTTGGTATGCTCATTCTTGAATTTCTTCCGTGAGTAAACATGGTTTCGTCGTTTGTTCTCAGCGCATTATATATTTTAATGTCTGATAAGTCATGGCTATAAGTATAGTGATGGCCATTTATAGCGAGAGGAGGTCAAAAAAGAAAAATTGGAATGGCAATGGAAATTGAATTGAATACATTATCTATAATGTACAATGTACCACATGTTTTAATTGGTTCCTAGAGGAAAAAAGATAATTCGATATTTCCAACACACTTATAGTCGTAAATATGATGCAATGTAAATAGTGCTTCTGCAAAAAATATTCAAATATAAGTATGATATGGTCTAAAAACAATACATTCAGTTGTTTATTAATTTGTAGAGTTGGATGAGTATTCGACTTGGTAACATTTTTTTTGTCGAGTACCTACTCGAATTTATTTCACTACTTAATTGAAAAATAAATGTTTAAACTATAAATAATTGTAAATATTTTGCTAAATATATATATATATATTGCAATATATATAGCAATATAGCAATATAGCAATATATTGCTAAATATTTTCAATAAGAAATAATACTTTAGAATTCTATTTTTATAGGACGGTTGATGGTTTATATGAATGGTGCACAACCCCTAAAGGGATCATCAAATCTTATAAAGAGGCTACAAATAATTTAATATCAAATGAAAAAGTTATATTGTTTATATTATTTTATATAACTTTATATTTATATTTTAGATTTTATAAAACTCTAATATTGTGTTTCTTTTTAAGTTTTAAATTAAAGAAATATTAAAATTGGCTAAAATTAACGATTTCATTTATACATATAAGTAAAATATTTTTATACAAGAAGTAAGTGTATAATATACAATTACATAATTTTGGTAGGAAGGGCCGCCTTCTCAAAATAAATTAATTTGAGGATCAATGATCAAAAAAGGTTGCGTACCTAACGCTGTTTTAAATTACCAATAGATTATTTTAATATTTTATCATCACGGTAACGATATTTATACAAATTGGTAACCACTACTTTTTTCTCGAGTACTTAAAATTTTTCAGCTACTCGACCCTTTTTTTCTGAGTACTCGTAAATAAAAATTGTCGAATACTCAAGTACTTGGCATTTTTTCGAGTTTTTAACTCGACTTCACTCGAAATAATTGAAACTCCACACGACGACATCAAAAAACAACACTCGTTCAACTCCATTAATTTGCATCTTTTAAGCTAGAACTTCTTACTACATATCTCGATTGTTATAATCATTGATTATAATACTAAACTATGAGTCACTTCTTCTATTAATGTATAAAACATTTGATCAAGTTGATCCTATTCAAGGACTTATGGCTTCATCAAATCAGCTTCTAGAAATTATAAAAATTTGTTAAGACGTTTTTGAAAAAAAGTTCCCAAAAATCAAAAGATATAAAGCAATTTTATCACAACTCAAAGAAAAGGCCAATGAAAAAATCGATATAGAATTTCAAAATATTCGAAATTTAGAATGCCTTCACCACTATAATTACGTCATCGAATTATTATTTAGAACAAAATTATACAAAAATGTACAATTAATGTTTGCAATAAATTTGTATATAATTAATTTTTGTATTCAATTATAAGATAATATAAAGGTAACAAAAGTTTTCATTGCATAACTAAACGATATTCTAAAAAAGTAAAATAAGTATTTGGTGTATGATGTATTTTATTTAATTTTCAACTGGATAAAATATAGTGAAATAAAAATAATAAAATAGTGCGATAAGAAACAAAACATGTATCGCCCCGAACGCGACACCACGTTATAAACCTGTATACCCGCACCACACTCGGCGTTTGTGATAGCGAGCACAATTAAATATGAATTTATTAATGCTGTTGATTCTTATAGCCATTTACCGAGAGTTTTATTGTAGACCACCGAAAAAACGCTCAGTGAGTATTAGTAGTATTTATAATCAATGTTATAATGTATGATCACTATGATTTTAATACATTTTTGTGTAATCGTGTACGGGAAAATGTAGAGTATTGTACTTTTTTTCTTTTTATAAAGATTTACCGGTTTCAACTTCATACTTTTAATTATTATGTATACGGGGTACAGAGGCATTCCCATGATTTTTTATTGTGGGGGGGGAGGAGGAGTATAAAAATGTATTAAATAGTGAACCGTGGGGACTGAGCCATGTTAGACAAGATTAGTTAGATCCTAAGTATCATTTACATGGATTTAAGTCCCCGCATCCCATTTCTTATATAAAAACAACATACATTGGTGGTATCATGAGATTAATTTATTATTCATATCAATATATGAACTCAGCGG